TTTCGGTAAAATTCTTCAGAGATTTCAGATCATTTGACCACTTTATACGTGTACCATCATAGACTAAGTGTGTATTAATGTTTAGCAATTTTATTGAGGGTATATCAACACGATCAAGACTAAAATTCCTTACTATAGGCGAGTTTAAAATTTTGCTGCCGTCCGCCATTATGCATATTTATACAAGGTTGTTGAGCTCAACAGACTTGTTACAAAGCTGCTCCAACAACTTGTTATCGTCTTGCAATTCAACAATTTGTCAACAAGTTGTGAGTGACAAACTTGTAGCAACTTGATAAAATAACAGTATTGTTACAATTTCAACTTGTTGGCAACCTGTTGCGAACACATCTTGTTGACAAGTTGTGAGAGTTTTACGTGTATATCAGAGAAATGAAACAAGTCGCGTTCGTCAAATTATCACTTTAACAATACCATCTCCTAGTAATTTTGCAATCGGAAAAGAAAGCTAATTATTGCTAAGAAAAACCACGCAAAAATTATTGATTAATCGATCAATCGAGAGAAGCTCCAGAAAATCTTAATTTTACATTTCAACACTTACGTTGCAAATCCAAATACAATCTTTGGAAGATCCGTAGGAAAATCAAATTCTTGAAAGTTAGCTTTTCCTGTTGGCCTGCAGACAAAACAAAAATATTGAATATTTCAGTATGTAGAGTTGATGATCTCACCCATCTATGGATGTGTTTCACTTGTGGAAAAATATTTTAATTTAAAAATATTTTAATTTTAAAAAATTATTCACTACGGACTCATGTGAAAAGAGTCGGTCAACGCTCTGTCGAAAGTCGTGAGTTTTCTTTGGGTGCTCCGGTTTCCTCCCACAGGGAATGTTGACAGGGTGGGTTAGGATAAACACAGTTAAGAAAGTAATCACAATGAATGATTTCAGGTATAGACTAAATTTTGATCTAGGCAAGAAGAACGAAACCATTACCATAGCTGGAAAGAGCATCTTAAAATCAATAAAATTGCAAAGTTTGGTGGCGAAATGTTGTAAAATGAAGAAAATATAACCCTGTGAAGTTCGCAAATTTTGTATATAGGACGCGCGGGGGAAATACCATTTTTGAGCCGAACGTATCCCGCGCGTAATACAAATACTGTATATACAAAATTTGCGAACTTCACAGGGCTATATTTACTTCATTTTACAACATTTCACAACCAAACTTTGCAGTTTTACTCATTCTAAGATGCTCTTTCTAGCTGTGGTGTTGGATTTCGTTGACAAGTTGTCAAACTGGATGTCATACAGAAAAAAATGTATTTCAGTGCACTGAGAATCTTAATTATACTTTTCGTAGTATAACATAAAACTAATTTCGATAACATGCATCAAGGGTCGGATCCTAAGGTAAATACAGATGACAAAAAAGGACGCTACTAGGGGTCACTATCGGGGGGGGGGGATCCATGCTCCTCCAGAAAATTTTGAAAATCAGGTGCCCCAATTTGTCTAAAAATGCATTTGCGATACAAAATTTATTACATCATTCTATAGTCTAATACATTTATACACCTTATGATTGCATTTCTGAGGTCATACCTACAAGTACAGTAACATTCTTTCTATTGCATTGTTAGAATTTTCCTTCTGAATTTCCCCTTTTATCTAAATTATTACTTTTGCTTTTTTGGGGGGGAAATATTTTCTGGGACCAATGGTCCCGTGATCCGATATTTTCCCACCCCTAACGCACACCTACGTACCTGACTCTACACATGTCGAGTATCATAACAGTCATTTTCGGTTTTGCCTTCCAGAGCAGTTCAAGCATCCACTGTACACAGATTGCGTCCTCCTGTTTCCAGTCGGCTGGGGCATCCACTGGTAGTAGATAATGCTTGCCATTTAGTTCGAAGCCATGTCCGGCATAATAGAAGAATGCATAGCAGTCCTCGCTCAGCAAGTTCATGTACTCGCCGATACCTCTGACCATCTCGTTTCGTGTCAGGTTACCAAGCGATAAAACATTATAGCCCATATCATCACGATGAAGTAAGGAACCCAAGGTCTTTGTATCGGCGATAGTATGTTGCAGTAAGCCCCCTCCTTGAAGAGCCTCGTGGAATTCTGCAGTGTAATGCTGGTTGCCGATAAGAAGAGCGACCTTGTCACTGGCTAGAATGATTTAGAAGATTATTGTTAGAAAACGTTGCTATATAGCACAGTGGTCAGTGTGATTGTGGTATCCCTTTTGCGCATTTCGTCTTTAAAACGCACATCGCAGGTTTTCTTCGGATACTCTGGTTTCCTACGGTTAGTAACACTAGAGCAATGAGAGATGATCCTTGATGGACCTCTAGGGAGAACAGTTTAGAACTGCTAAAGCTATCCAGTATAAATAAAGTTAGACAGTTTAGTTTAGGTTTCCTCTTGTAGTAATACTGGATCAATAAGAGATGATCCTTGCTGGACCTCTAGGAAGAACAGTTCATAACTGAAAGAGTTATCCAGTATAAATAAAGTTAGTTTAGTTTAGGTTTCCTCCTGTGGTAACACTGGATCAATAAGAGATGATCCTTACTGGACCTCAAGGGAAAACAGTTTAGAACTGCTAAAGCTATCCAGTATAAATAAAGTTAGACAGTTTAGTTTAGGTTTCCTCCTGTAGTAATACTGGATCAATAAGAGATGATCCTTGCTGGACCTCTAGGAAGAACAGTTCATAACTGATAGAGTTATCCAGTATAAATAAAGTTAGTTTAGTTTAGTTTAGGTTTCCTCCTGTGGTAACACTGGATCAATAAGAGATGATCCTTGCTGGACCTCTAGGAAGAACAGTTTAGAACTGATAGAGCTATCCAGTATAAATAAAGTTAGACAGTTTAGTTTAGGTTTCCTCCTGTAGTAATACTGGATCAATAAGAGATGATCCTTACTGAACCTCTAGGAAGAACATTTTAGAACTGATAGAGCTATCCAGTATAAATAAAGTTAGTTTAGTTTAGGTTTCCTCCTGTAGTAACACTGGATCAATAAGAGATGATCCTTACTTGACCTCTAGGAAGAACATTTTGGAACTGATAGAACTATCCAGTATAAATAAAGCTAGTTTAGTTTAGGTTTCCTCCTGTAGTAACACTGGATCAATAAGAGATGATCCTTACTGAACCTCTAGGAAGAACATTTTGGAACTGATGAACTATCCAGTATAAATAAAGTTAGTTTAGTTTAGGTTTCCTCCTGTAGTAACACTGGATCAATAAGAGATGATCCTTACTGGACCTCTAGGAAGAATAGTATAGAACTGATAGAGCTATCCAGTATAAATAAAGTTGGTTTTGTTTACAGCAACTTTCTTGTCTTCAATCTTCAGATGGGGTATTACCGTCAACATGGCAAGTTTGTTGGTTCCTACGAGTCATGCAGTACAGCGGCATTCAAACATGGCCGTACAGAGACTGTGCGTCCTGCATCACTCGCCACAGTTGCCTGCAGTCAGGCGTTTGATAGAACCCATAAAGCAGGCGTAGACGAAATGACTAGTTTGATACAGAAAGCATCGGAGTATCACAATCAGTTGATTAAAGAAGCTGCCATGGGTAAGTGCTTTTGAAATATTAAGGCGATTTTTGCTGCGATTTTCTCCTTTTGGAGGATGTGAAGGAGTAGATTACTTAATGATGTTGTTATGAGATTCCATAACCTGGAACATTTATAACTCATCCACTTCTTCACATCCTCCAAAAGGAGAAAATCGCAGCAAAAATCGCCCGTGTAAACGGGCCTTTAGTTGGCGTGCAAACTGTTGAAACCGCCATTAAATAAAGTATAGTCATAATAGAAAGAAGTGTTCTATAAACAAAACACATGAAAGCAATGTTAAAACCATAAATTTATACGGCATTTTATTAACAATCATTGTCATTAGAAATGGCTATGTTTTCAAATTTGAGCGGAGAAGTATGATGCAAAAAGCAAACCAAAATCTATTTTACTGTAATACAACTGAGCTGAAATCGACAAGTTTTGTGAAGCTTACATCCACATTAATTAACTGCATTAGTTTTCGCGCCAGAATTTTTAATCAGATCTAAATCCCTGCAAGCGAAACAAATCGATCTCGCGGCTTTGCCGCTCGCTGGTACAAGATCGAGATCGACTTGTGGCAAGTCTAAAGGCTCGTTTACAAGGGCGATTTTTGCTGCGATTTCAATTGCGATTTTCTCCCTTTGGACGATGTAAAGGAGTGGATGAGTTATAAATGTTTCAGGTTATGAAATTTCATAACAACATCATTAAGTAATCTACTCCTTCACATCCTCCTAAAAGAGAAAATCGCAACTAAAATCGCCGCAGAAATCGCCCGTGTAAACGGGCCTTAACATACTATACGTGTACATCATTAATAAGCCTCATGTAGAAACAAGAAATTTTACTGTTATATGTGTTATGTAAAACTAGTTGTTCGAAATTTGAGTAGCTTACACACCTGGGTTAGGGTAATGTTGAGAATTACAGACATTATTTAACATTTATTTAGTTTCGTTTGAATATTCTTTATGAAGTAATAAAAAGTTAAACGTTTCCGGGCGTAAACCCAGGGCGAGGATACCAATTTCGCTCGGCTATTTGCACCCGGGGAAGGAAAGCATTAGCGAAGTCTAAAGCACAGAATAGAGACAAACAGAAGGTCGACTTCTTGATTTTTCCTATGATTTTGGCGTAACCGTAAATTCGTCATCAAAATGCTGATGCCCTTTTATAAGAGGCATTAACCCCCCTGATAATATTCAAAATGGCGGACATCCAGGGAGTGAATGCCTCTCATAAGCGCACTGGATAGAACCATGGCTGTGACGATGGCGTCAGCATTTTGATGACTTATCATGGCGTGGCAGCGGTTACGCTTTTTTTTTGCTAAGTCGTGCCTCTGTGTGTCTTTATTCTGTGTCTAAAGTTCATCAATAATCGCCGGCGTGTGGCGTTGTTTCATGGTGTCATTAGTGGACAATGGGGTGTTACTGTCTACTGATTTCAAAACTATGGCGAATTTGAGGAGTGGGAAGAGCTGTTATTCAGCAACCCGAAAAATCGTTAATGAGGGCCCACAGATCGTAATTTTAATTAAATTATCTATTCTTTGAAACAAAAAAAGTAAAGAAAACACACGCATGAACAGAATTACCCAGAATTCACCCAGAATTAGCGCTAACAGATCTTTAAACAAAACTTCTTGGAAAAATGCCAGAAGAGAAAACAGCTGACCTCCGCCTACTTCAACTTCTCTAATATCATTTCCATCTTTTCTTCCAAGTGTTGAAGCGAAACGAGCGAAACGAGCACGTACAAAGAGCAAGATGAAACAAGTCAGTCCATCAGCACCAATGGATCCGTTTGATCAATGTAACTTTACAACCATGGAAGGTCTTAAAGTTTCATGGAAATATGGGAATATTGCACAAGAGCGCGTAAGCACATTATAATTATATCTCAAATAATGAGTTTGAATCAACAATGAGTTTGAATCGTTGAATAAAACAAATATGCAGGCAGAATCGTATCTCATTGATATGGATAGACTAAGCCAATTACGATTTAATCCTTTTGAAACAAATCAAAATACAGCGCTTTCCAACAATAATTTTGAACTTGATTCATCTTTTAATACAAACAAAATACAATGTGATTATTACTTACCTGAGGATTTCAAATATATATATATAAAAAAAATAAAAAAATATATATGAAAAATTTTCGTTATTACATTTAAACATAAGAAGCATTTCGAACAAATTTGACTCTTTAATAAAATTTGATTGATGCCTTGCATATACCTTTTCAGATAATAGGACTCACTGAGACATGGTTGAATGAGAATAACATGGATTGTTTTACTATGACTAATTATGAGTATTTTGGTTCTAATAGACCTGAAAAAAGAGGTGGAGGTCTTACTAATAATTAATTATTAATAATAATGATTAATAATTCCTAATGATGACTCAACAGTAGTCGAAACGTTGAATTAAAAATATGAATTTCTTCGGAGTTTCCATTGTATTGTATTTTGTAGGTCTTTATGTTTCAAAACAGTTGGAGTATAAAATTTGGAATGACTTAACTAAAAATATTGAAGATATTGTAACCGAATTTATTGAAATAGTAAATAATAATGGTAAAAATCTTATCATTGCGACATTTGAAAGCACCATATGAGTACAATCTTAGAAAAGATTGACAGAGAAAATAAACTCTGATATTTAATGGGAGATTTTAACATTGATCTTTTAAATCAGAGTCTTGTGATTATGCGAGCCACTTTATCGAAGAATTATTCACTTCGTCATTTTTCCCATTTATAACCAAATGAAACACTAATTACACTGGCCGCAGCCAGTGTCATAGAATGGCCTTGGTCTTTTCGGGGTTTTTTTGGGGGGTTTTTGTTGTCGCATGTGTGACTTTCCATTGCGGCATCGTGGGCTCAGGATTTCGCAATTTAGCTAAAACATGTTCAGGTGATTACGACATGGATTAGGATTAGGATTGGAGTTAGGACCAGTTCTACACAATATTAACTAGAACGAGTTCCGTATTTACAAATTATTATATTTACGTTACAAGTCTTAGACGCTGTAATTGTGTTTTATTATATTTCATTGCGCATGCGCTTGAACTTTTTCTGTGTTTTTCGATAAAATATTGCTGAACTCTATTGGTTTTGTATGGATTTTTATTGTGCCGTACTCTAAATGTTTGTGATCATGAAGTGACTGGTGACGGCCGTCAAGAAGTGAGGAACATCTATATATTTCAAATTATTTTTTAGAATATTGCGATGGTATTTTACCAACCGCGAAGGCCAGTGTGAACGCCTGAGCAGGCGTCTTGTTGACAATATTTTCACAAATAATTTAGAAAACTTGATGATAGTATAAATGGTATTGTTTTTAGAGATATTTACACAAATATCTTTGGTAAAAACAGAAACATAAATGAAGATACAGACATACAGTAACCTATCAAAGAGTATATAGTGAAACCAACATAGAAGGATTTAAAAACACAGTTAAATCTTTCTCGGAAGGAAGTATTAAATAAACAAATGACCCTGAAAAGACATTTAATGAGTTTATGACATTGTTTATGGATGTATATAACGTACAGTTTCCAAAAAACAAAACAAAACACAAAAC